TTGCTGAGCAGGAGCGATGCTGCATGGTCACTGCCTGGCCATGCCCATGCAGGGCAGGCCGCACGGGGATGTGCAGAAAGTGTGTGATGAACCCTGTAGCACCTCAGTTCATCCTGTGCGGGATTGATTGCTTGGTGGCTCTGAACCACACACCGAGTTTCTCCTGGGACCTGGAGATCCAGGGGAGAAATACATGCTCCGACTCTTCATGGAGTTCATTCAGCTGCCTGCTTCCCAGCACAGTAACTGCAGGCACCCACAGATTCCAGCACGTTCCCACTGTGTTGGAAGAGCCTGGCAGGACAGTGAAAGGACATTGCAACCGCACTTGCAGCCTTTTCCCTCCCCCATCATCTCTTCTGGGATGCTAGGAGGACCTGGGGTGCATAACTGTGAAGAAGAGGCAGGAACGCTGAGTTCCAAGCTGGAAAATTTGAACACACCGACCAACTGGTCAACCAGCAGGTCCTCTAAGAAGTTGGTGAAGATGCATGCTTGTGCTGATTTGTATGTATGTATTCACCCCCTACCCCTGCAGACGGGCAGAAACAAAAAATGCCTTTCCAAACGCTCTCCGTGAAGGAAGCATTCATGAAAACAAGCAGTGATGTTCTGGGCAAGGTCTTCAGCTTGTCAAGTTGTTAATCTTCCCTCCCCCTCCTCTCAGTAGCGCTGCAGACGCCAGCCCTGGAGAGATGACACGATGGGGACAGAGGCCGGGGAGAGGTTTCTCCTAGGCTCGCATTTGGAGAGCAAGGAGCACCCAACCTGCCACCCCAACCTGCCACCTTTCCCCAAGGCACCTGAACCCTGGCAAACGTTTGGTTCACCCCAGGCTGGAAGGAGGGATGTAAGAAAGCCTCAGCTATTAAGCCCTGGACATTTACATGAACCTTCTGGAAATGTTTTTGGCACGAGGCTGAGCGCGAACAACGAGACAGTGAAGTTAAACGCTGCCTGCTGCAAAAGGGCTCGTCAGAGAGCCAGCCAGCTGCTTCCCAGCGGAGCTCTGAGACAGTTTAACTCCCAGCATAAAAATAAACCAGAGGAATTAGAAGACAGGTAAATTCAGCAGCTTATTATGGCACATTGTGGAGGCAGCTAGCTGTCAGGAGGGCTTACTTTATACTATGCTACAAACGCCTCAGAGCCACCTCATCTTCTCTGCTGTACCCATGGGGCCCAATTCTGGTGCAGCGTGCAGGTGCTCCCATAAATGCAGAGGGAACACGCTCAAATCAGTCCATGGAACGGTCCCGATTTTCTGCCAGACCCATCATGGTGAATATACCTTGTACCCTCGTATGGCAGCAGGGCTTGCTGCCCCCCCCCCCCCCCACCCCTTTTTACCTACTCACTATCCTCCCCAACCTCATCCCACAGTCTCCTCTCTTCTGCTTTGGGTGAGAATCAACTCCAAGACTCCATCTTTCATTGAAGAAACTAAATCTTTGGAGTCTTGTCTTCTCCAGAGAGACAGCCGAGGGTTGAATGCTGCTCCAGTGAAGTCCAGTGCAAGCTTCCCATGGACTTCAAAGGGAGCATCTTTGGTTTTCCAAGGGCGCTGCCTCTGAACCACAGACGTCAAGGATGGACGAGACCTGTGAGGTCACATCCCGTTCTATCTTCCTGCCAAAGAAGAACTTCAGCGCAGGAATATATTTCAAGAGTGCACATTTTGCGTTACTTCCAGCCCCTGCCAACCCGGGGGCCACTGATAAGATCCTTGAGACACTGCAAAGCACTTTACGGACATGACCAACAAACATCCTCTGGCCCAGGCTCTGGTTGCTGCTGGTCCCAGCCCAGCGCCTTGTTGACCTCACAAAGCCGAGGATGGTGCCAATATCCCTTCCTTTCTAGCAGACGGCTGCATTCCTTTGCACCAGTGTGAAATTTCAGTGGCAGTTCCTTCCTAATTCCTTTTCATGATTGCAAATGAAGCAGGCAAGACGGTGGGCTGTGCTGCCTGCCGGCAGAAATCAGTGAGGTCAGATAAGGAAAATACTTGAATTAAAAGCACGCGAGCAAACCCACTCAGCCCCACTCTCCCACCAGCTCAGACGTGATGAGCGCGAGAGGGCGACAGAAGGAGGAAGGGGTTTGCTTCTCGCCAGGGATGTGATAGACACCCGCTCGCGCTACCCCCTGCTTAAAATCTGAAAGGATAAAACCAAAATTGACTTTCTTCCCCCAACTGTTGGGGGAAGCTTTGGATGTGGAGCTGAACTAAGTGGCTCATTCCTCTCTCAATTTCCCATGTTTAATTCAAAAGGAAACATTAAAATGGCAGGAGCTGAGCCAAGACAGGGAGGGTTCCTACGAAACAGTTATTTTAACACTGTTGCCATGGCGAAAACTCTTATCTCCTAATGTCCCCGCACCCATCGCTGTGGTGTTGGAGCTGCACAAGGTGAAACTCCTCCCCTGGGTGTACAGGGCTGCTCCAGTCTGGACTTTGCTGCAGCGTGTGGGAAAAGTGTTGTGTAATCCCAGTAGAGGGTTTTGTCAACTGTGTTAACACTGCGATCTTTCTTGGAATTTGCAGCAAACATGCCCTGCAAAGCAGTTGGGTTTGTATTTTTTATTTTTTTAAAGAACAACACACAAAAAGAGGAAAACAGATGAGGGGGGGAAAAAGACATTTGCCTGTCCTTTCATGCTGCAACTGGGGGGCAGCGTCTGTGGCATGAGCCTCAAGGATTTCGGGTCTATTTTCCTTCCACTTGATTTAACTTCCTTCTTGCTCTAATTCTGAAATTATTCCCACATTTCACTGAACCCTTCCATTTTAGTTTCCATCTTGCTTTGGTCTCTCGCTCTGGCAGCTGTTTGATCTGGGCTCTCCGCTGTTCTTCTTACAGCAGTGTCGAAAGAGACTTTGGTGTTTCTGCTGCCCAGGGCTCTGCTTTCAAAGTAACTCAGCCTACTGCGTCGGGGGGCCAGGTATTATCATCCGAAGGGAAACAGTTGCCTGCTGCATAAAACCAGCAGAGAACTGAAGGCAAGGATTTAGAAGTCGTTTTCTAGGGCAAAAAGGGGTGCTTTGTGCCAGCAGGCTCCAGCTGTTCCTAGCTGCCCCTCTGATGTACTCTGGAGTGATGTGGACTGCGCTTGGCCTTGCTTCTTTTCCGGGCGGCCCACTTTGCAAAGAGGCTCTTACTGGAGAGTATGGCGAATGCTGTAGGACCCCTTGTGCTCTTCCAACACGAGGTGCATGGAAGTGGCTCTGTCACTTTTGCATCCGAGTTAGCAGCGGAGAAGTTTGCTCTGTGCAGATGCCACCGCAGGTCAAAGCGATGCTGGTGCTGGCTATTCCCAGAGAATAAATAGATCCCCTGCCTCCTCAGGGGTATCAGGAGCAGATCACACGTACAGAAAGAGGCCTTTTGAGGCTTGTTGGCTTGTTTCTGCAGAGGTCAGATATTGCTGGATACCTCAGCTGTATCCTACAAGCCAAATGGCCAGTCTATCCCACAAAGGTCCCATAGGGTCGATAGCGGTCTTCCATTAACATCAACAAACTCATGGATAAGGGGGATCCAACCGATACATAGTTGGTTTGGATTTCCATAAGAATTATGGCAGAGTTCCTCACTAGAGAAACTAAGCGACTTTGGCCTAAGCGTAGATTAATAATTGGTGGAAAGGCAGGAAACAGTGAGGAGGAGAAATGAAACTGGTCCTCCCAGCTCCAAAAGGGTAGACTAGAAGTAGGAAAGGTTCAGAGAAGACGAGTAAGGATGGTCAAAGGTGTGCGGTGGCTTCCATATATCAGTCAGCTGAGGAGGTTAGGTCTTTTCCTTCTGCAAAAGAGACAGAAGAAGGAGAGGAGATGATGGAGGGCTAAAAATATGAGTGGCACAGAGGAGATGAACAAAGATCAGTTGTTCTCTCTTTTTCCCCATATAAGAACCAGAGGACCTCAAGTGAGGACAGTAGGAGCCAAATTCAAAACAGCGAAAGGAGGGCGTTTTTATATAGAATGGGGTATAAACTCAGAGAACTACTCACCAAGGGATGTTACAGATGCCAAAATTTTACATGGGTGGAACTTAACTGGACCAAATTCGTGGATAAAAAGCATAGAAAACAAAAGCAGAAGCTCAGGCAGGAGAGTGGCAGAAAACGTTTGGCGCTCTCCTGCCCGGAGTGGGGTGACAGCGCGGGGGGCTGAGCAGGATGGAGCCTGGTACGGGGCCCATGGTGGAGGCACCCTCCGCCACGCCAGTGAGTGATGTCCTATGAAAACTTAGACGGACGGACGGTCAGACGGCCCGAACGGCTAGGATGGATTTCAGACAAACGCCCGGCTCCAGTTTCGTGTAGGCAACAGAGGCTTTTGCGTGAAATGACCTGTCACAATTTTGCAGAGGAGCCAAGGGGGGGTCCCGGGAGGGCCTGCTGAGCGCGGAAGAAGAGTTCGCTGCAAAACCGGATGTGTCAAAGTTGCGCGCTGAAAATGAAGTGTGTACGTAGCGTTTTTGCTGGATCGTGAGCTAAAAACAAGCAAACCTGCTGCAACAGAAAACGCGTACGGTTCCTTCACTTAGACACGCGCTGTTTAGTTTGAGCGGTTTGAGTGTTTCACGTTGCACTAGAAATGGTCAAGGATAAAGAACAGCGTAAGGCGTTGCCGCGGCCTGGGCTCTGCTCAGTCGTTTGTGAGAAACGAGCTGACGTAACGGGGTGTTTCAGCAGAGAGTCGGCGCCGGGTAGCTGGGTTAGAGTTACCGCCGGCGGGCTCTGGGGGAAGCCACCATCGGTGGTGCCCTTGGAGGGCAAAAGTGCCAAATTCTGGCACATTTCTGCTATTGCTTTATCCTGCCAGGAGACCCGTGGTGGCATTATAGCTCCTTACGGGGAGGATGGCAGGGCGGCCAAAGCGGTGTGGGTTCCCCCCGCCAAAAAAAAGGCCCCGGCCTCAGCGCCAGGCGACGGGCAGACGCCCCGGGCCGGATCCTGCCCTCGCGCTTGAAGCAGAGCCGTCCCGCCGAAATCAAGACGGCTCACGCTGCTTTGGCTCCCGCGGAGCCCAGCGGGGCAGTTTCTTCTTAAGAAACCTGTCGGGACCATATGGCCTTTTAGCAGCGGCGTCCCTAGTTGTGTTAAAAACGGCTAAGAAAATAACCGCCGGTTGTTTTGTCATGCTTCGAGTAAGGTATTTTGTATATCTGGCCTAATTTTTTTTTTTTCCCTGTTACCCTTTCTAGGTTCCCTGCTATTCTTATGGTCAAAAGTTGTCCAAACTAGCCATCTTGAGAATAGCCTGTAACTATATCCTTTCCCTGGCCAGACTAGCAGACCTGGATTACAGCGCTGACCACAGTAACATGAGCTTCTCCGAGTGCGTGGAGCAGTGCACTAGGACCTTACAAGCCGAAGGAAGATCTAAAAAAAGGAAGGTACGTTACAGCCTCCCCCCCACCATACCCCCAAGTAACGGTAAAAGTTACCCAAAAAAGAGAAATGCAAAGGGGTTTCCTTCCTTTCTCACCCTCCACGATTTTCCCCAGTCTTCGTTCCTCGTCTTTCGCCTTCTTTTCTGTCCTTCCTTTGGCTCCTCCGTCTCTCTGAGCGTGTGATACCCATCGGTGGCGTCGCCTTGCGGCTCTTGATTTGTCCGGACCAGCCCTTTCGGAGGTGGCCAAACCCCATCGCCCGGCCGCGTTTTCTTTAATCCCGCGCTCATCTCTGAGAAAATCATCCGATGACCCCAAAAAAAAAAAAAAAAAAAAGACCCGTAGCTGATGGAGATGCTGGGCGTATAAACACATTAGCGAGATGCATGAGCCGCAGGACGCGCGGGTATCTTGAGGAAACAACGCTCAATCTAATTACGCCTCGCATTCCTCTAGGTTACTTAACGCCGCGGCAATTAGGTGAAATCATCATCAAGGCGGCGTTAGAGAGGAAACGGCGCGTTCTGCCAGTTTTCCTCTTGCGGAGTGACAGGGGTAAATTAAACGAGTGATTGATGCCTTTGTTCGGCGTTTTACGGCAAAGAGCGTTTCGTAAACTCGCGCTGACCTTCCCCCTGCTTTCTGGGCTCGCTTGTCGCGCGGGATAATAAATCAGCGAGGCTTTAATGGAGGGACGGGCAGCGAAGCCGGGGAGCCGGCTCCTTCCCTGGGGTGGTTATGGTCTGCCTCCGATTTGGGCAGCTTTCCTCTTTTTTTTTTTTTTCCCTTTGCTCCGTAGACTAGTTTTGTTCTGTTTTAGTCTATCATATTATGTCTGTGACACCAGGCCAGATATAGCCAGCCTCCATGATATTCGTTACATACCAGTATGAGCTGAGCTACTAAACATCAGCCATGCACAGGACACTGAGGAGGTGCCGTACGTGGAAGTATGTATGTTGTAGAAGATAACGGCTTCTCGGGGTGGTTATCTGCCCTCGCGCGCCTGGAGCAGCAGGCAAATCCCAGGTTGATTAGCAGTGTCGGTAGTGGGCTGAGCTGCTTTGCTTCCTCCTTCCAGGCAGCAGTTTGGGCCATTCAGAAAGCTGTGCCCCGGCACGGCTCCTGGTTGGGTGGAGGGGTCTGGCATGGCACGTGTGTTTTGGCAGGCCGGGGCTCCAGATGTCGCGCGGGCTGGGCTGCGCGTAGCCCTTCGCTTCGTCTTTGAGGGCGACTTCCCTGCTCGTCCTAGCGTTAGGCTGCTGTGCGGCTTCTGCTGCTGCCCTAGGAAATGTCATTGGGGTTTTTTTGTTTGTTTGTTTGTTTTTCCTCCCCTTCCACTGCGTTGTGTTAATTAGGAAAGCTGGCGTTAGCTTTTCCAACTATTTTGGCTAGGAAAAAAAAAATCCCCTTTCCAGCCCTAACTGCAGTTATGTAGTGATTTAAGCTGTTGCAGTTAAGTTGTGACGGAGGGTGTTTGGAGATGTCGTTTACAAGCGGCCAAGGGGCTAGCTGCCGGGCTTCAAATGCCTTTTCCTAGACCAAGCGGCACGAGGGTGAGGGGGGATCCTGCTATATTCTGCATTTTTAAAGGTCGCTTTCTGGTTGGCTCTAGCGGTGACCTGGCGCCTCGCGGCCGCCGCGCCAGCGGCG